CGAGAAGAAAACATACGGTCAATACTCCAACATGCAGGCATGGGCAACAACTTTCTCAACAGGACCCCAAAAGCTCAGGAAAGAATGCTAAGAGTTAATAARTGGGAAGGCATCAAATTAAAAGCTTCAGCACAGCAAAGGAAGCAATTAGGAATATGAAGAGAGAATTTACAGAATGGGAGAAAATCTTCTGAGGATTAATACCCAGAATATATAAAGAACTCAAAAAACTTAACACTAAAAAATCCAATTAATAAATGGATTAAACACTTCTCAAAAGAAGAAATACAGAGGCTGGAGTTCTGGCTCAGTGGAAGAGCATTTGCCTAGCATGTGTGAGGCACTGGGTTTGATTCTCAGCACCACGTATAAATTAATGAATAAAATAAAGGTCCATCAATATCTAAAGAAATATTTTTTTAAAAAAAAGAAGAAATACAAATGGCCAACAAATATATGAAAAAGTATTCAACATCATTAGCAATTAGGGAAATGCAAATCAAAACTGAAAGTTCATCTCATACCAGTCAGAATGGCAGTCATCAAAAATACAAATAGTAACAAAATGATGGAGAGGATGTGAAGAAAAAGGAACACTTTTACACTGTGGCTAGGATTGTAAATTAGTACAACCACTCTGGAAATCAGTATGGAAGTTCCTTCAAAGACAAGGCATGGAACCACTATGTGACCCACTCTACCACTCCTTGGTACTTACCCTAAATATTTAAAGTCGGCCTGCTATAGCAATACATGCATACCCATGTTGATAGCAGCACAATTCACAATAGCCAAACTATGGAACCCACCTAGGTGTCCATCAATAAATAAACGGATATTTTTTTAAAATGTAGTATACATACACAATGGAGTTATGGTCAGCTAAAAAGAAGAATGAAATTATGTTATTTGCAGGAAAATGGATGGAACTTGAGAATATTATGTTAAGCAAAATAAGACAAACTCCGGCTGGGTATGTGGCTCAAGCTGTAGCGTGCTCGCCTGGCATGTATGCGGCCCGGGTTCAATCCTCAGTACCACATACAAAGATGTTGTGTCTGCCAAAAACTAAAAAATAAATATTAAAATTCAAAAAAAAAAAAAAAGACAAACTCAAAGTCAAGGGTCATATGTTTTCTCTTACATATGGAAGCTAAAGAGGAAAAAGGAAAGATCGTGCTTGGGGGAGGGGGGAGTTCTCACAGAAATGAGTTGAGTAGCAGAAAGAGACCAGGGGGAGGGAAGAAGGGAGAGAAAAGGGAAACACTGGGAAATGATATTGGCCAAATTATTTTGTTATAWTGTGCCATTTACAAATATGCAACAATGAATCCCACCATTATATACCACTATAATGTACAAAGAAAATAAATAGGGGCAGAAAAAAAGAGCCCATTCCAATTGTTTGCCTTTGTGATACTCCCACATAGATTACTTCAAAGGCATCTTATTCAAAACTAAACTGATTTTCTACTAGGGTTTCCTACAGGAGATGCACAAGCTAGAAAAGAATCAGCCCAAAGAGCTTTCCCTTCTTACCCAATGTCAACCTATCAGCAAGTCTCACTCATCACACCTACATAGTCCTCAAATCTGACTTCTGCATCCAACTAAAGAGCCAGAGTTATTTTTCATAAACACAGACATGATAAWACTACTCCCCTGGCTAAACTAGTCAATGGCTTCCCCCATGTCCCTGGCATGGCTTACAAGACTTGCATGGTCTGACCCCTGCCTACCTCTGCAACCTCATCTCCTTAACTCTCTGCTTCCCTCTCTGTCCTCCATCTCCAACTATGAGTGTAAGCTCCATGACAGCAGAGACCATGCCTATTTGCTCACCACTGTATCCTGGCACCAGACAAATAAATATATATTGAGGAATCATGGTGTTAAAACAACTGTAGTATCTTAAGTGGAAGCAAGTGAATCATTAACTAAACTATACACAGTGGAAGGGAAAAGTCTTATACATGTTTGTATCCTAGGTAGCTAACACAGAGCTTGGACCATAATGGAGCTTTAAAAAAATGTAAAATCAATTTACAAATTAGAGACAAATATGATGAAATATCAGCACATTACATCTATTTAGCTTTGCACTGCAGATTTTCACATGCTGATTAAGTCTCGAATTTGGGTATTTATCCCTCTTTCCATCACGATCCCCTTCTGTGGGGAGRAGACTAAAGTCTAAACACATTCTTGAAGTAGAAGACTGGGCCCCAAGACAGAGCTAAAAAAAATATGGTTGTGGAACCGAGTACATGTTCTGAAAAGCAAATAAACCAAGACTGGGAAGGGGGAGGCGGGTATTGCTCTTATGATAAAGATCTCTATCTCACTTGGCATCTGATCTTGCAACATTCTCCACCCTTTGGCCACACAGGTCATCCAATAACCACAACATATAAGATCCTCTGACTTTCAAGGCTTCCCACATGACCTTCCCTCACTGTCACAGCTCTTTGCCCAATTTAACTCTAACTCAACCCTTGTAATCTCAACTAAATACTATTTAGACATCTATTAGAAACAGTCCTCACACCTGTCTCTCCCAACTCCCTCCCCAATGTTAGCTATGTATTCTCATGGCACCCTCTACTGTCCTCCACAGAAGGTACAACAGTAATGAATTTAGTTTTAATGACACGTTTACTATCTCTTGTTAGATTTATTAAAAATCTTAAAAACAAGGGCTGTATCTGTTTTGGTCATCACTTTATTCCAAACACCTAGCACATTGCTGGCACACAGCAGGTAAAAAGTATCTGTTAAATAAGGAACGGAGGTTAGGAGTGTATTTCAATGGTAGAACAGTTGCCTAGCATGCATGAGGCCCTGGTTCACCAAAAATCAAAAAGAAAAAAGGGGATGAATGCAATACGTTGATAATCACCAGGTTTTACAGTGACATGGAATTGGCTCTGCTCTTACTATCTCTGTACCTRTTAAAAGATTCTTATAAGCTCTCAGCCCACTTTCTTCGTCTATAAATATAGTAGTTCCTATTTTACAAAGTTATTATAGGATTGAATAATACATAAAGTATTTAGCATGGTGCCTGGTTAYAGCAAATGTTTAATAAATATTACCTATTACAGGTTGCATATCCCTAATGCAAAAATCTGAAATGCTCCAAAATCCAAACCTTTTTGGTACCAACACAAGGAGAAAATTCCACCTCTGACCTCATATGATAGGTCACAATAAAAATAGAATACTGACCTACTGCAGCAGTCATGTGCATGCCAGGCTTGCTCCAGAACTGGTGGTTCAGGCTCCTTTTACTGAGCAGTATACCTGAATCCTATTCTGTTTTATTCAGTTTGAAAGGAAGTCGGAAGACAGCAATTTGTGATGAGTAAATGCTTTCCTTTAAATGTTAAGGTCATTTGTTTTGTACTGGTTGTTATAAAGTCAGTTTAAATATATTCTGGTTAAATGCCAGAGAATTTTAAAAATTTTTTAAGTTTTTAAATTTTAAAGTTTAAACTACCTGTCAAATAAGGACTGCCTGCATACTTAGTATAACCCACTCGTGTTATACTAGTTTCTCCTACACAACAYAGCCACTGACTCTTTGGGAGCCTAAACATCACAATAACAATTATTTAGTTCATTTATCTGCTAAGGAAAATATTAAACTTTTACACACTTTAAATAAAGTGTCATTATCTTTATTTGGTGGARGAACTAAAGCCCAAGATAGACCAGTAAGTAGAGGGAAGCACTATTTCAATACAGAGCCAGAACCATTATGTGCTAACCTGCTAAGTTCCCATTACACTGTATTTGAATAGGGAGATTTTTGTAGGAGATTCATTATTTGTTCCCAAATTATTTAAGTTCAAGGATGATTGTTCCAAGGACTTAATTGTGTGATCATGGGGTATTTTTACACACATTCAGGCCATTAGCACTAGAAGATGAAGTTCCTAGGTCTCTATGATCCATAAGCCTCTAAGATCAACTTATCTTCAAAGGACAAATTTACTCCCATATAGCAAATAAACATTCTATGATTATTTGTTTAAAGAACGTACATAACATGATGGAACATAGTGTGTGATAATGGGGACAGCATTAATTTGAGGATCCGAAATTTTGGGTTTGAGTTTCAGCTCTGCTGTTTATTACCACTGTGATCTTGGTTAAGTTACTTGAGTTCTCTGATCTATAAAACTATATTTTTGCTCGTCTATAAAACAGGAGGATTGCCAAGTGCAGTAGCACACACCTGTAATCCCAGCAGCTCACAAGGCAGAGACAGGAAGAGAGTGAGTTCAAAGCCAGCCTTTGCAAAAAGTGAGGTGCTAAGCAACTCAGTGAAACCCTGTCTCTAAATAAAATACAAAAAAAAAAGAGCTCGGTCGCCTAGCATGTGTGAGGCCCTGGGTTTGACCCTCAGCACCACATAAAAATATAAATAAAATAAAGGTATTGTGCCTAACTACAACTAAAAAATAAATATTAAAAAAAACAGGGGGCTGGGGATGTGRCTCAAGTGATAGCACGCTCGCCTAGCATGTGTGAGGCACTGGGTTCAATTCTCAGCACAACATAAAAATTTAAAAAATAAAGATATTGTGTGCACCTAAAACTGAAAAATAAATATTTTTTAAAAAATTAGGGCTGGGGATGTGGCTCAGTGGTCAAATGCCCCCTGAGTTCAATCCCCAGTACCAAAAAAAAAAAAAAAAAAAAAGGAGGGCTGAACTAGGTAATCTATAGAGATTTATTAAACTCCAGTTCCTCTGGTGTAATGAGTAGACCTCTGTGTCCTATGGAGGAATTTGAAAGCTAATATTGGTTTCTTGGAACAGTTTCCATGGGTGTGACAATTGCTTTAATTATCCAAAATCTTTCAAGTTACTTTAATTATCCAAAATCTTTCAAAATCTTTATTTTATTTTTCCATGCCAACTAAAATTGGGATTATTGTCATTACTGTATTGAGCAATAAACAAATGCTAAAATTAAAAAAAAAAAATACTTACCTTCCAGCCATGAAGGTACACGTGAAATATAAATGAAGCCGGGTGCAGCAACACACATCTGTAATCCCAGCAACTGCAGAGGCTGAGGCAGGAGGATCACAAGTTCAAGGCCAATCTCAACATCTTAGCAAGACCTAAGCAATTAAATGAGACCCTGTCTCAAAAAATAAATAAATAAATAAAATAAGCTGTGAGCACATTTCAATGGTAAAGTGTCCTAAGTTCAAACATCAGTACCTCCCCCAAAAAAACATAAATGAATTTTGTTTTAGACTTGGATCTCATCCCCAAGACATCTCATTATGTATTTGCAAACATCCAAAAATTTTTTGAAAATCAAAACCCAAAACACTTCCGGTCCCAGCATTTCTGATAATGGACAYTCAATCTGTATTACTATTAAATAGTTAAAAAGGGGCATAAATGTTAGAAAAGGCATATTCCACACTCTTTACTAGGACACAAATGTAACTCCCTTTATGCAAACCCATGGTTGCAAATTTGAATAAAACAAACTATACATAAATTGTATATTTATATATAGTGTGTATATATAATAATATATATTAAAAACAGTAGAGGAAATTGTTTCATTCAACCATAAAATTCAGAGATGGAGCAAGGTATGATCACTTTGATTAAGGTTTCAGCTTAATTTCTCTGAGATCATCTTAACMGTCTTCTTTTCTGACAACAGGATGACTTCTAATAGTGTCTAGGCCATGGGCTGGGGATGTGGCTCAAGTGGTAGYGCGCTCGCCTGGCGTGTGTGTGTGCCGCCCGGGTTCGATCCTCAGCACCACATACCAACAAAGATGTTGTGTCTGCCGAGAACTAAGAAAAAATAAATATTAAAATTCTCTCTCTCTCTCTGACCCCTCTCTCTCTCTCTTTAAAAAAAAATCTTAAAAAAAAAAAGAAATAAAAACTCAAAAAAAAAAATAGTGTCTAGGCCATCTGTTATCTCTTAACTGAAATCCTAAACTTCACCCTGAATGGACAAGCCATTTGCCTATCCTAAAATCACTCTGTCCAAGYTGTTGCCATGAACTGATTGACCAGAACCAAAGTTATATTCCTTCAGTGAGAATCTGTTAAGCCAAAAACTTCCTTTCCCCAAATTCCTCACGACTATGACTTTGACATACAACTTCAAATCTACATTTTAAATAGTCATTGATCACGTTTCCATCAATGATGTGCCAGGTATATGATAATAGTCCCATAAGATTATATATCACTTAGTGATGTCAAAGTTGTCCTCAATTACGTAAGAACACTCTCTGATGTTTGTATAATAGTGAAATCACTTCACAATGCATTTTTCCAGATATATCCTATTGTTAAGTTACACATGACTGTATACTGTATTATCTTAAAAAAAAATTCCCAAGGGCCTGGAGGTGTAACACAGCAGTGGAGTGATTGTCTAGCATGGGCAAAGCCTTGAGTTCGATCACTGTGGGGGTGGGGTGACATGCGTGGCCACCACATCTGAAACAGATCTACTTATAAAGCCAAGAATCTTTCTGGATATTAAGTGGCTGTGTACTAATTTCTCTGGCTTTCACATTTTCTTTTTTTCTTTTTTTTTTGGTGCTGGGTATCAAACCCAGGGACTTATACATGCAAGGCAAGCACTCTACCAACTGAGCTACATCCTCAGCCCTAGAGTTAACTTTTTTTTTTTAAGAGATAGTGAGAGAGGAAAGAGAGAGAATTTTTTAATATTTATTTTTTAGTTTTCAGCAGACACAACATATTTCTTTGTATGTGGTGCTGAGGATTGAACCCAGGCCGCACGCATGCCAGGCGAGCGCGCTACCGCTTGAGCCACATCCCCAGCCCCCGGCTTTCACATTTTTATGTGCAATGTCAGGTTTCAGGTACAATGTTAAAAATTATTAATTCAGGCAGCAGGGTTCAAAACCTAGGTTTCACAATCTACAGGACCTCAGTCCAGCTACATCGTCCTCAGGGGACATTCAGACAAGGCAACTGACTTTGCCTTTAAGATAACTGCTTAGTAGGAAGTTCTACATCTCAATAAGAAAATGTCCCTCCCTTTGGTGTTTTCAGCATCCCACCACCAACCTCCCCACCCCCTAATCCCACTTCCTAGTACACACTCCAAAACCTACCTCTAACTTTGTTTTTGTCCCCTCAGCTTTTCTTACTTTTAACTCGTCTGTTCTTCAAACTCTTCATCCATAAAAATGGAACTAAACCAATACTTCCTTCTAAATAACACAATGGAAGCCATAAACTAACACACAGTAACTATTGTTTAAGTGTTCCTAAAGATCCCTAGTCAGCCTACAACTGAGAAAAAAAAAAAAAACTAAAAAATCTTTTCAATGACATAATTTTTTTTTCAGAGTCCATTTTTTTTTAGAATAAAAGAAACTTCAACTTACTCCATTTAGAGTAATGAAGTAAAATGTAAGATCCCAAAGAAGCGCCAAATGTTGCAAAGGGAGAAGAAAAATTAACAAATTAGGTAGTTCATTGTTTCTTAAGAAATATTATTTCAGCAAAACATACTTGATATATAATTTTTTTTTTAATGGTACTGGGGATCAAACCCAGGACCTCACACTTGCTAGGCAAGCGTTCTACCACTGAACCATATCCCCAGGTCTCTTTTATTTTTTTTTATTTTGAAACAAGGACTCGATAAATTGCCCAGGCTGGCCTCAAAATTGCAATCCTCCCACCTCAGCCTCCCAGTAGATGGGATTACAGGTGTGTGCAACATACCCAGCATATATCCATTTTTTCTTTTAGGTGTTGATGGACCTTTATATTCATTTATTTATATGTGGTGCTGAGAATCGAACCCAGTGCCYTACACATGCCAGGCAAGTGCTCTACCACTGAGCTACAGCCCAAGCCAGCATATATCCATTTTTATAATGCAAGCCCTATAAAGCAAGCCCCCACAGCGCTACATGGCCTTCAGCCCACTGCTCATTCAGAAGCCTCACCACGTTGTTCTTTCTCTCTTTCTTTCATACATTAATGTTGCCCAGTCAGACCTCCTGGGTTCAGACAATCCTGCCTGAAACTCCTGAGAAGGTGGGACTACAGACTCCACCAGTGTGCCTGGCATTTAGGGGTAGTGCATGCTAGGGATGTAACCCTGGGCCTCCAGCATACTAGGCACCTTCTCTACACAGAGCTAAACCTTATTATTTTTCTTTTTTGGTACCAAACCTAGGAATATTTTACAACTGAGGTACAATCTCAGCCCTTTTCATTTTCTATTTTGAGACAGGGTCTCACCAAGTTGCCCAGGCTGGTGCTGAACTTCAGCCTTGTATGACTCAGCCTCCCAAGGAGTTGGAACTATACCACACTTGGCCAGACCTTAATTTTTTAATGTAATCTCTTTAACAAAGACCTATTCAAAGGCAACTTTTGTACCTGAATAAGCACATATTTTTGCAAAGAGGTGTTTGTCTAAAAACCTGCCTCCCTCACTAAATTACAATTTAGTTTCCATAACTCTCCTGTAAACACATAGTAATACCACCCACTTATGTGTTGAGGAGGAAGAAAATCATCTTTATAGCYGGTCCAGTGTATGCTCAAAAAGGTTAGTCCCCCTCCCTGTGATGAATCCAGCCTAATTCCATTTTAAGATTGGGAGCCATATTGTCACAAAGTCATGAAAAGATAATTTCTGTTTTACTATAAATTAGTGCGATTTCTAAACTTGTTTGGAATTCCTGCCTGTGCCTTGAACTCACCCATGCCTGGCTTCCCCTGACCAGATAACAACCCTCTCTAAAACCTTAGTGGCGCCTCATAAATTCTGATGTTGGGATCTGAATTTACTTCCTACCTTGAACTATCATGCCATGTAGATCATTAACCTGCTACCTGCCTTTGTATGATGCTTGTCAAAATCTGTAAATTCTCAAGACACCCCCCCTTTGCAACTTTTTGTGCTATAAAACCACAAAGCTGGGGGACTGATCTCTAGCCCAGGGTTTTCAGGAGAGACAGTCCTGGCCAGCTCCAGGGTACACAAATACAAGTTTGCTTTAATTTGATTTAAAATTGGAGTCGGTGCTCTTTTCTTTTCRTCAGGGTTCAACACCTGCCCTGTGAAAAAGTAGATATTTCCTGATAATTCAAACTCCATTACTAAGCTAAGGATCCCCCTTTCCACCTGCCACTTATCTAGAAACTGATACTCGCCCCCCCCCATATATGTACAGGTTGGAAGACATAAAAACATTTCCTGGCAATTCCACTAAGAGAAGCAAGTATATGTTCACTAAGCACATGCATAACTGAAACCTAAGTTACTTCAAGAGTAACTAAACAGTGCTGCA